CAAAAAAAAAAAAAAAAAAAAAAGCATACTATGTCACTGAATACAATTAAACTAAAATAATAATCTTAAAAATAATATTTAAAAATTGACTAATTGCTAAATTAATAAAAATAACTATTACTGCAAATCAATAAGAATGTGACATATTACTTACCTTGTTGAAGTTTTAAAAGCTGAAGATTTGTAATATAAAAAAATCCACTGTTTGTAAGAAGCAGCATATAATAGGTACCTATTAAAATTAAATCAGAATCAGTTTCCCTAAAAGTCATGTGGATATAAAATTTAAACTAGGACCTAGAACTAGCTTAAAAATATGTTAATTTGCACATTTCAATTTTAATCAACAAATAATGTAGTAATGATCAGATAAGACTTATTTACTTATTTATTTAGTCCCCCAAACACCATTGATTTCTCTGAAATTTTTATGTAAAAAAACAAACTTCACTCGGTGCCCGTAGCACAGTGGTTACAGCGCCAGTCACATACACTGAGGCTGGCAGGTTCAAACCTGACTCAAGCCAGCTAAAAACAATGACAACTGTGACAAAAAATAGCAGGGCATTGTGGCAGGTGCCTGTAGTCCCAACTACTTGGGAGGCTAAGGCAAGAGGATCACTTAAGCCCAAGAGTTGGAGGTTGCTGTTGGAGGGTGCCACAGCACCCTACCAAGTGTGACATAGTAAGATTCTATCTCAAAAAAAAAAAAAAAAACTTTACACACCAGGAAAAAAAACAAAAACCCTCAGGCTCAGCACCTGTGGCTCAAGTGGCTAAGGCGCCAGCCACATACACCTGAGCTGGCAGGTTCGAATCCAGCCAGAGCCCACCAAACAACAATGACTGCTGCAACCAAAAAATGGCCAGGTGTTGTGGCGGGCACCTGTAGTCCCACCTACTTGGGAGGTGGAGGCAGGAGACTCACTTGAGCCCATGAGTTGGGAGGTTGCTGTGAGCTATGATGCCACAGCACTCTACCCAGGGCGACAGCTTGAGGCTCTGTCTCAAAAAAACCCCTCAAATATATTAAAATAAATTAAGATCCAATTAACATTTGTTGAAACCAAACTATGGCAAAAATGCTAAAACCCACCAAAATTTTTTTTTAATGTCTTGTTGGTAGTCTACAGAACTCTCAAAACTGGGCCAGCACTAATCCCAGCACTCTGGGAGGCCAAGGCAGGTGAATTGCCTGAGTTCCAGACAAGCCTGAGCCAGAGCAATACCCTCCTCTAAAAACAGCCAGGTGTTGTGTGGCTGGCGCCTGTAGTCCCAGCTATCAGCCCAAGAGTTTGAGGTTGCTGTGAGCTGTATGCCATTGCACTCCACTGAGGGCGACAAAGTGAGACTGTCTCAAAAAAAAAAAAAACCTCTCAAAACTGTAAAAGTTGAGTTTAAAATACAATATTTAGGAAAATACCTATTTAAACCTCTGAAACAAGACAAAATTTAAAATTGTATCTTACAATATTAATTGAATTAATAGAAAAGAATTTTACATTGTAGGAAGAATAGCAATGAATTTATATAATACATAACAATAAATTTAAATTGTTGATTATCAATCAGAAGTCACTACAAAAAAAAATTCAATTTTACACTGTAGGAACAATAGCAGTGAATTTATATAATACATAAAAATAAATTTAAATTTTTGATTATCAGAAGTCACTACAAAAAAAATTCAAGAAAACTTACCTTCATTTGAGCCATCTTTCTCAATAACAAGAGTCCGGTAGGTACACTGATTTTCATCATTTGCTTTCTGAACAAAAGCCTATTACCAAGTAATTTCAAATAAGGTTAAACCAAGAAACGTAATCAAGAATTATATGCCGGTTCAAGACTAGCCTGAGCTAAAACGAGACCCCATCTCTAAAAATAGCTGCATGTGGTGTGGGCACCTGAGTAGTCACAGCTACTCAGGAGGTTGAGGCAAGAGAATTGCTTCAGCCCAAGACTTTGAGGTTGCTATGAGCTATGATGCCAGAGCCCCCTACTGAGGGTGACAAAGTGAGACTCTGTCACAAAAAAATAAAAAAGAACCATATTCTTGGGACACAAATATAAGATGGACTTTATCTAACAAATGCAATCAGTGTAACCT